TTAAAAAGGTCTAATTAAAATCGAATGACATCCTTGTTCATGGATTGGAAGACTTAGCATGCTAATACTTCCTAAACCAATCTACATATTCAGTGCCACCCTTATTATAAAATCCCAGCTGGCTTCTTGGCAGAAATTAATAACCTCATCCTGAAATTCATATGGAAATGCCAGAGATGGGGAATATCCAAAACAAGGTTGAAAAAGGACAGAGTTGTAGTCAGACACACACTTCTGATTTTAAGTTTTCCTGCAAAGATACAGTAATGAATAGAATGTGATGTTTGCATAAAGGTAGATATACAGATCAAGGGAATAGAATTGAGAATCTAGAAATGAACCCTCACAGTGCATCCAAGGCCTACACATAAAGGTAAAAAGTACAAAACTCTTTGAAAAAAACATACAAGTAAATTGTGCCATTGGATTTGATAATGTTTTCTTAAATATGACACAGAAAGCACAAGAAATCAAAGAAAAAGATAAATTGAGCTTTATCAAAATTTAAAACTTAACTGATTAAAAAATGGGTAAAAGACCTGAATAGACATTTTTTTTAAAGATTTATTTATTTTAGAGAGAGACAGCGCATGCACGCGGCGGGGGGAGGGGAAGAGGGAGAGAGAGAATTTCAAGCAGCCTCCCTGCTGAGCATGGAACCCGATGCAGAGCTTGATCCTTTGACCCTGAGATCATGACCTGAGCTGAAATCAGGAGTCGGGTGCTCAACCGACTGAGCCACCCAGCACCCCATGAATAGACATTTTTCCAAAGAAGACATATACATGGCCAATAGGTATATGAAAAAAATCAGTATCACTGATAATCCGAGAAGTACAGATCAAAACAAAACTGTGAGATCTTACCTTACACCTAATAGATCTCAAGTATTCTTACCCCCACACAATGGAAAAAAAAAAGGGTGGATATGTTAAAATTAGCTTGGTTTTGGTAGTCATTTCACAATGCATGCATGAATTAAGACATCACATTGTACACCTTAGATATATTCAATTTTGTCAGTCATTTTAGTAATGGGGGGATGTGGGAATAACATGTGAGAAAACATGGAATTGGGAAAAGAGCAGTGCATTTTAATTGTTTACAAAAGTTCTGGATGGCTGGAGTACCAGATGTGAACAGAAATGGGCAGAGAGGAAAAGCAGGGTTGAAGCGTGGTGATCTTTGGGGGCCTTGCCAACCAGTTTGACTTCTATACCTCTGCAGCTCTAGCCCCTTACAGTGCCTTGATAAAAACACATGTCCAGTAAATGTTGATTGTCGTTGAGACCAAACCAGAAGACAGACAAACCTCCACTGTTGAGAAAATTCTAACTAATAAAAAATGAAATCTAAGACACTTTTTTTTTTTTTAACTTTTATGCTTCAGAGGATACTATCATGAAAGTCAAAAGACAACCCTACTGAAATGGAGAAAATATTTTTCAAATCGTATATCTGATAAGGGACTTCCATCTGAAATATTTTTTTAAAAAGCCTTACAACTCAGTAATAAAAAGAAAGCCTAATTAAAAATGCACTATGGATCTGATTAGACATTTCTCTGAAAATCATATACAGATGGTCAATTAGCACATGAAATTATGTTCAACATTACTAATTCGGGAAATGCAAATCAAAACCATGTTGATACATCACATCCTACCCAACTAGGATGGCTAAGATAAAAAAACAAAACAGATAATTGTGGTCAAAATGTGAATGAAGAAATTGAAACTCATACACTGCTGGTGAAAATGTAAAAAATGTAGAAAATGTAAAACCATGTAGCACCTTTAGAAAATAGTCTAACACTTCCAATTTACTATGTGAGTCAGCAGTTCCACTTCTAGGTACATGCAGGAGAAATGAAGGCATATATGCACACAGAAATTTGTACATATGAATGTTCATAGCAGCAGATTCATAATAGCCAAATAGTGGAAACACCCCAAATGTCCATCAATGGACAAATGGATAAATAAAATGGTCTGTGTATATAGTGGAATATTATTTGATGGTAAAAAGGAATGATGTATTTGATGCATGCTATAGCATGAATGAACTTTGAAAATATTGAAAGTGAACGAAACAAGTCACAAAAGGCCACATATTGTATGATTCCATTTATAGGAAAAATCCGGAAAACCTGTATAGAGAAGAGAAGGCAGATCAGTGGTTGCCTCAGGCTGGAGTAGTTGGGGCAAAATATTGAGGTGACTGCTAATGTTAGGGGTTTTAGGGAGTAGGTGATGAAAATGTTCTGATTGTGGTGATGATTTCACAACTGTGTGAATATACTAAAAATCATGTAATTGTACACTTTAGGTGAATTTTATGGTGTGTGAATTATAAAATTATTAACAAAAAATTCACCACCACCACCACAACAGAAACAGAAAATATAACCAGCCCTTCTTGGTTTTCTTGGTCTTAGTGTCTTCTAAGTCTCTTTAAACTTAGGATACTTCACTTCCTCCACCATCCTCCTTGCCTCCCATTTTTTATGCTAATAACTTGTTAAAGAGTCAAGCTCAGTTGAGTATCTCACATTCTTTTTTTTTTTAAGATTTTTTATTTTTTATTTGACAGAGAGTACAAGCAGGGGGAGCAGCAGGCAGAGGGAGAGGGAGAAGAAGGCTCCCCACTCAGCAGGGAGCCCAATGTGGGGCTCGATCCCAGCACCCTGGGATCATGACCTGAGCCGAAGGCAGACACAACCATCTGAGCCACCCAGGCGCCCCAAATATACTTTAATTTTTCTGCATGCTTCCTTTTAGTGTTATGTAACTTGTATGACAGAATTCTCCTCCTCCCTCTCCTCCTTCTCCTCCTCCCCCTCCCCATCCCCCTCCTCCTCCTCTCCCAAGACCCTGGGATCATGACCTGAGCTGAAGGCAGATGCTTAACAGACTGAGCCACCCCGATGCCCTCTTCACCAGTTTTGAACCTCATATTAAAATACAGGGTGAGAGGGATTAAGTATATAACATTTTACTGGAATTATGGCCTTGAGAGTAGGTAGTTACTAAATTCCACTCACCCACGAAAGTACAGTTTAGACATTTTTCAACTTGAGGTGTCTGTAATTTTTCCATTTTGCTTGAAATTTCATTCCAGAAAATGATAAGTAAGTAGCAGGAAACCAGTGAAGACCTTTAAGGAGAAAATAGCATCAGGATTATGCTTTAAAAGGATCCTATTGGCTGCTACATGGAAATAGGTTTGAAGGTTGCCAGAGCAGATGCTGAACAGTTAAACTCTTAAGTAGTTCAGGTGAAATAAGATAGTAATTTGTGTTAGAATCGTGGTTAAGGAATTAGAAGTAGACTGTTGAGGTAAAATAGATGAGACTTGGTAATGGATCTAGTATATAAGTTGTTGTGCCCAGTTTGGCTCCCAGATTTTTGACTTTTGTAACTGGATGAATGTAAGTAGCATTCACTCGAAATAAGAAATACTGGAGTAGATCTGGGTTTGAGCCTCCTTAATCTGATAAATTCTAGACAAGCTGAGTTTGAGATACCAAAATGGATGTGTCTGTTAGGTTTTGATATAAGGGACGAGAGCTCAGCAGAGAGAGATTAAGTAAAGAGATATGTAGAGATATGTGTAGAGAGATGTAAATATGGGAGTCATTAGTCTGTATGGGCTAATACTGAATTTGAGGAATCCCAACATTTAATAACCCAGTGAGTGACAGTGAACCAACCAGAGACTGATAGTGATTAGAGAAGTAGAAGGAAAACTAGGAGAAATTGGTGTCACAGAAGCCAATCAGTATTTCAAAGGAGGAAGTGGTCAGTAGTCCCTAGATGGTTCTATGAAAGGTCAAATATGTCCTTCCAAACTCGTATGTTTATTTCCATACCTATTGATCACATCTGTGATCTAATTACATAGATTTTGTATCCTAACTTTTATTGTTTTTACTCAATTTATCAATATTTTTCTTGTTCATAATCTTTAGTTCCCTAAGTGGATATATACTTGACTTAATCATTTCCCTATTGCTAGGTAATTAAGTTACCTCTGCATTTTTGTTCTTGCAAAGAGTGTAACAATAAATAGTTTTGTACATGTGCTTTTGGAGGGGTGTATTTTAGGTGTTTTTCTTAGGCTAATATACTAGAAGTAGTATTATTCCATCAAAGGCTTAGAATATCTTTATGGTCTTGAAATCTTCTAGCAAAATGATATACTTTTGAAGCAGTGTTCATAGACATCTTTTTTAAACAGTTGATTATTTTTACAAATCGACTTTAATTAAGATATTTATGCAAGACAGACATTAAGAGGAAAATATTACCTTAATTGCTAAAATTTTACTATTAATATTTTTATTTTTATTTTTTATTCATTTTAGACAGAGTGCAAGTGCACCTACCTTTGTGAGCGGGGGTGAGGGTGGGGGGGAGGGGCAGAGGGAGAGGAAGAGAGAATCTCAAGCAGACTTTGAGTTGAGGGCAGAGTCCCACACGGGGCTCAGTCTCACGACCCTGACATCATAACCTGAACCAAACCAAGAATCAGACGCTTAACTGACTGAGCCACCTAGATGCCCCTACTGTTAATATTTTTAATAAACATTCTTTCGTATATCTCTTTTTCAATATAAATTCATATAGATATTTTGTATAAATGGGATCTGATTACACTTGCTCTTTGGTAACCTGCTTTTATCGTCTAAATACAGATTCTATTATTTTTAATGGTTATATATGTAGTGTAAATTTATTTAACCATTTGAAGTCCAGAGAATATGTTCATACAGGTTCATCTCCTTAAAATCTTAGATGTGCTACTGCTGGGTTAAAGGATATATGTATTTAAAATTTCAAATACATATTTCTGTACTGTGTTGCATATGGTTTCAAAGTGAGGATTTTTGTTACAGAACTTTTTTCTTTTGAAAAAAGAAATTTTGGGGAAATTGTGGTAATTGAGTTTTGCCATCTAACATTACTGTACATTTATAACTTCCATCATTTTATCTTTAGCTTTTGCCTGTGATGACAGAGCAGCTGCAGTGGATGCCATTTGTGAATACAAAACTTCATGAGCCTTTTGTAAAATTTATATATTGGTCTCTAAGACAGCTAGATGCCGGAACACAGGTAATTGATTAATAGGGGTCTGTGTTTAAGTGATACTCTGTTTAGTATTATTTCTCTTGATCTTGTTCTTTTACAGGTTTTTTTTCTTTGTTCTGTTTATATTTCAGGACTTCCTGCCTTCTTTGCTTTATTCACTACTTTCTCCTTTTATAAATATTATTTCTCAGTGCCCTAGGTTTGATTTTTTTTTTTTTTTAAAGATTTTATTTATTTATTTGAGAGAGAGAGAATGAGAGAGAGCACATGAGAGGGGGAAGGGTCAGAGGGAGAAGCAGACTCCCTGCCGAGCAGGGAGCCCGATGCGGGACTCGATCCAGGGACTCCAGGATCATGACCTGAGCCGAAGGCAGTAGCTTAACCAACTGAGCCACCCAGGCGCCCCTGCCCTAGGTTTGATTTAACATGTAACATTGTTTTCTGAGTTTCAAAATTGTAAAAGTATCACTCTGTTAGGTTATTGTTAAAACCACTGTCCCTCCCCTTATTTAACTTACAATTTTTCATATTTTACTGAAGGTAATAGAAATTAAAGATTTCTTGTGTTAATGCCAGTAAATGTACACTAGGTAAATTGGACAGTGATTTTTACAATAGCCTAACCAAAGCAGAAAAATTATTCCAGCATCTTATAAAATGAACCATACATGCTACCTATTCCTATAAGGTTCATTCAATTTAAATTTAATGTCATGCATATGTAATCATTTGTGCTATGAGCTGTAGTAGTTTTGTAAAATTTTATTTCCTTAGTTAGTATTGATAAATGCTGGTATAGCTTTCATTTACTTAACTGAGAGAAACAAATTTGTGCTTAGGTAGTGTAATCTTGGTCCTGTGGAATTTGGGAAGCACACAGCTAAACCACTTAGAGCAGTACTGATGATTAAGTAGTATTAATTGAGTCATGTGATTAAGTAGTATTAATTGAGTCATGTGATTATTTAGTGTGATGGTTAAGGTTAAGGAAAAATTTCTTTCCTTAGGTTGTATCTGAAATATTTTGCTTCTGTGGTGCATAAGTAAGCACATGAGCATGTATGCACACATGTGCATGTGCCCCCCCGAATATAATTTTTAATTTATTGGTCCTAACTACGTGTTTCACTAAACAAAGTTATATGGATTATTAGGTCTTGTAATGTTGCTATCTTCTTTTTACAATTTGATTTTGCTGTTTGTATTATGGTTTCTGAAAATGGTTGGCTGAATGCTTGCTCTCAGCCACAAAAGGCTAGGCTCAGAAATTGAGAGAAATTTTCTTTTATCTTCCTTCCAACTATTCTTATCATTTTCCTTTAGATAATTTATCATTTATTTTTGTCTATAAGTATATACTCTGTACCCTACTTTGTGTGCTATTCTAGACAGTACTGCCAGCCTGCATCTGCGTTTCTACTGAAAAGTAGCATTCTTACCACTGTCCCATTTGTTTATGCAACATTTATAGATGGATTTCTAGTATTTTAGTTTTAATAATTGTCTGATTGCATGTACTTTTTAAAATTAAGCTTTTTATTTTGAGATAATTGTAGATTGGCTTGTAGTAATAAGAACTAATACAGAGAAATCACTTGTGTCCCTAACCCACTTTCCCCCAGTGGTAACATCTTACAAAACTAGTACAATATCACAACCACAATATTGACATTGATATAATCAAAATAACAACAGTTTAATCACCAGATTCCTCATGTTGTTTTTTTTTATGTATACAGACTTTTATTTTTTAGAGCAAATTTAGGTTCACAACAAAATTGAACACAGATTTCCCATATACTCCTTGATCCCACATATATACTGCCTCCCACACTATCAGCTTCTTGCACCAGAATTTGTTGTAAATTGTTACAGTTTGTTACAATTGGTGAACCTAAGTTGATATGTCATTTCACTCCAAGTCCATAGTTTACATACATTAGGATTCACTCTTGGTGTTTTACATTCTCTGAGTTTTGACAAAAATATAATGGTGTGTAACCGCCAAATATAGTATCATATGGAATAATTTGTTACTAAAAATAATTTGCCCTAAAAATCCTCTTTGCCTGCCTAGTCATGCTTCCCTCACCCCTAACTCCTGCAAACCACTAATCCTTTTACTCTTTGCCTTTTACATAATATGATAGCTTTTCCTTTTACAGAGTATCATATAGCTTAGAATTAGCCTTTTCAGATTGGCTTCTTTCACTTAGCAATATGCATTTAAGATTCCTCCATGTCTTTTCATGGTTTGATAGCTCATTTCTTTTCAGTGCTGAATAATATTCCATCATCTAGATGTACCACAGTTTATCCATTTACCTACTGAAGGACATCTTGATTGCTTCCAAGTTTTGGCAAGTATGAATAAAGATGGTATAAATATCCATGTGCAGGTTTTTGTATGGACATTAGTTTTCAACTCCTTTGGGTAAATATTTAGGAGCACAATTGTTGGTAAGAGTACGTTTAGTTCTTTGAAAAACTATAAGCTGCCTTCCAAAGTGGCTACACCATTTTACATTTCCAGCAGCAGTGAATGAGAATTTCTGTTGTTCCACATCCTCATCAACATTTGGTGTTGTCAGGGCGCATGGGTGGCTCAGTTGGTTGAGCGACTGCCTTCGGCTCAGGTCATGATCCTGGAGTCCCGGGATCGAGTCCCGCGTCGGGCTCCCTGCTCGGCGGGGAGCCTGCTTCTCCCTCTGACCCTCCTCCCTCTCATGCTCTCTGTCTCTCATTCTCTCTCTCAAATAAATAAATAAAATCTTAAAAAAAAAAAAAAAAACATTTGGTGTTGTCAGTGTTTTGTGTTTTGGCTATTCTAATTGGTGTATAGTCAAATCTGGTTGTTTAAATTTGTAATTCCCTAATGACATACTGTTGAGCATCTTTTCATATGCCTGTTTGCCATCTGTATATTTTCTTTGGTGAGGTTTCCAGGTTCTTTGCCCATTTTTTAATTGGGTTGTTTTTAGAATTCTTTCTCTATTTTGGATCACAGTTCTTTATCAAATGTGTCTTTGTAAATATTTTCTCCCAATCTGTGGCTTGTTTCTCATTCCTTTGACAGAGTAGTTTTTAATTTTAATGAAGTCCAGCTTCTCAGTTATTTTTTGTGGATCATGCCTTTGGTGCTATATCCAAAAATTATTTACTGTATCCAAGGTGTTGTATATTCTTAGAGAATTGACTATCATTATGTAGTGCCCTCTTTCCCTGGTAACTTTCCTTGCTCTGAAGTCTGTTTTGTCTGAGATTAATAAAGTTATTCTGGCTTTCTTTTGATTAGTGTTAGCATAGTATATCTTTCTATCTAATTACTTTTAATCTGTATTTGTCTTTATATTTAAAGTGGGTTTCTGTGGCACCTGGGTGGCTCAGTCTTTGGGCATCTGCCTTGGGCTCAGGTCATGATCCCAGAATCCCAGGATTGAGCCCCGGATTAGGCTCTCTGCTCAGTGGGAAGCCTGCTTCTCCCTCTCCCACTCCCCCTGCTTGTATTCCCTCTCTCACTGTCTCTCTCTGTCAAGTAAATAAATAAAATCTTAAAAAAAAAAAAGTGAGTTTCTATCCGTTTACTTTTAATCTGTATTTGTCTTTATATTTAAAGTGGGTTTCTTATAGACAGTGTATAGTGGGTCTTTTATTTTGATTCACTCTAATAGTCTCTTTTAATTGGTGTATTTTGACTATTGATGTTGAAAGTGATTATTGATATTGTTTGATTAATATCTACCATAGTTTTTACTATTTTTTATTCATCGACAATTGTTCTTCCTGTTTTGTTCTTTTTCTGCCTTTTGTGGTTTTAATTGGACATGTTATATGCTTCTACTTTCCCTTCTTTCTTAGCATATCAGTTGTACTTCTTTTTTAATTTTTTTAGTGGTTGCCCTACTGTTTGCAATATGAATTCACAACTAATCTAAATCCATTTTCAAATTACACTATACAGCTTTACGTGTAGTGTGAGTATCTTATAATACAGTACACCCACCTTATCTCTGGTTTCACTTTCTGTGGTTTCAGTTACCCACGGTTAACCACAGGCTGGAAGCAGATGACCCTCCTTCTGAAGTACTGTCAGAAGGTCATTATTAGCCTAACACTAAGTAAGGTCACAATGCCTGTTTCATTTCACTTCATCTCATCCTGTAGACATTTTACCATGTTACGTCATCATAAGAGGATGAGTACAGTACAATAAGATATTTTGAGAGAGAAAGAGAGAGACACCACATTCACATAACTTTTATTATATTGTTATAATCTATTTTATTATCAGTTATTGTTGTTAATCTCTTTGAGATTAATCTCTTACTATGCCTAACTTATAAATTAAACTTTATCATAGGTATGTATGTATAGGAAAAGACATAGTATATAAAGTTTGGTACTATCCATTGTTTCAGGTATCCCCCCTGGGGGTCTTGGAACACATGCCCCCCAGATAAGCGGGGACTACTGTAACAAAATACTGCTGATTTCTTCCTCCTGTCCTGTATTCCCTTGTATCATTCCTGTCATTCATTTCACTTACACATAAGCATACATAAGCATGCATATGTACACACACGCACAGGCACACACACAGACATTCATAATCAAACACACTGTTGCTATTGTTTTCAACAAACTTATCTGTTAGATCAGTTAATAAAAGATAAAAGTCTTTATGTACACTTATTCCTTCTCTAATGTTCTTTCTTTATGTACATCCAGGTTTCCAAGCTATATGATTTTCCTTCTCTCTAAAGAACTTTTATTAATATTACTTTCAGGGCTGCTCTACTGGTAACAGATTCCTTCAATTTTTGTTGATCTGAGAAAATATTTATTTTTGATGGATAATTTCACAGTATATAGAATTGTAGGTTGGTGGAGTTTTTTTCTCAACATTTTAAATATTTCATTCTATTTTCTTTGTGCCTACATGGTTTTTGAGGAGAAATTGGATATAATTCTTATCTTTGCTTCTCTATGAATAAGCTGTTTATTCCTCTGGCTTCTATCAAGAT